CCCTACAGATGAAATCTTTCTCATGTTTTAATCTGACACGGTTTACTCTTTTGTAGGATATCCTACAAAATTGTTTTTAACTTTTACACATTAAAAGTACATGACTTATTCATGAGGAAAGAGGATCTTTAACCAAAAACTGCAGACTTATTTCAGATCAGAACCATTGAGATCCAGGAGAATGGGTTCAACACGCAGAGACTTTTCAGTAAAATGGGGCAAAATTTAAAATTAAAAATCGCTGACTTTAAAAAAAAAACTGGTTCAGACTGTTTTGGATGTTTTGCATCAGGTAAAAAAACATTTTTCCTTGTTGTTTTCCCCCATAAATAATCCCCTAAAACGGTGAATAAATCAGGATTTTGATAAACCGTTGTTAACTGACCTTCCTTGAAAAGAAAAGACTAATACCTACGTAGGATATTTACTGATCGGATTAAGGACACAAACCATATATGTGAGAGTGTATTTATAGTTTTTAATTATAAATCAAACGTCTTATTTATCAACTGTTCTGTTATCTTTTTATAATAACAGACACACATTGAAAACACTTTATATCCTTGTGTTGTCATCTTGCAACAAGCTCAGCCTCGTTTTGCTGTTTTATAAAGAATATTTATTTTGAATTTTTTATTTATTTTTATTTAGCGTACACTTATTATTCGTACACTAATTATAAACAGATTCCTCTTTCTTTCGTCTTTAGTCAAACAAGCGTCGCCGTTGCTGTTTCCATTATCTCCATGTAAAAGTATGTGGTGACCTACGCAGTAAATTTAAGTCATGGATGGTTGGCTAGAAATTCCAAATATGTGTTTCTTGCCCCTTCTGTCAGCATGTGTTGAAGTCACTTGTGTGTCAGGTGCGTGTCAGCGGCCATTGTGGCTGTGTGTGTGTGTGTGTGTGTGTATATTTGTGTGCCGAATGCCCTTGTTGGTTGGGTGTCCCAGTGAGTGTGACTGTGTTGTTTACCAGCTGACACGCGGTGGCTCAGGAGGACATTGGTCAGGCTGCTGCTGCTGCTGCTGCTGCTGCTGCTGCTGCTGCTGTGGTTTCTAGGCTTCTTTTTTACCCGTATATAGCAATGACAGGCCGTGTTGTTTCACCTGTTGTGGCGTGTGGTCAGCAGTGTCTCTCTCTCTCTCTCTCTCTCTCTCTCTCTCTCTCCTTGAACCCCACTCTCTCTAAAGCCAGAACACAAGCGCTGCCCCTTAGGATCACATGGGTCAGTCCATATGTGTGGGGGCTTGACCCATACGTGAGGGCACGGACAACAACTAGGGTTATAATAAAAGAACAAACCAATGTGCTCCTGTTCTTCAGCTCTAGTTCATTTTGAGTCGTGAAACATTCAGTGTGTGCCGATTAAAATAGGATGAAAAAAAAATATGGGAAGAATCAGGAACGCAGTCGCTTTTGGTCACGGTCCCTGATGTGAGAATATGAAAACAGGGTAAAGGTCAAATGTTGGTGTGAGCTTCTGTGTATTTATGAGTTTGTTGGTGCCTGAATTAAGAAGGATATGTGAGTGATTATATGTATGTGTGTGTGAGTGTGAGCGCGTGGGTGTGTGTGTGTCTATTCTGAAGCATTAAGCTGCAAATCTACTTTCAGCTGGTGGACAGGTGCAGTTCCAAATTGGGCTCCACACCTGCTACTGGAATAAAAGTAACGTGGGCCACGGAGCTATTTTTGGCACCTCTTTAACAAGTTCCTCTTATAGTTGTGTCCTACTGAGTGAGTGAGTGAGGGGGAAGATGGTACGGAGCAGCCTGGAACGGGGGGGCAGAGGTGTGGAAGGGGTCAAATGTATCAATTGTGAGACAGCTGAAGTTACTGCGCACACACACACACACACGCTGACGAACACTTGCGAAGGCAGAAAAGAGCAATCTGAAAGTCATGTCGCGTATCAGCGAGGCGTGTTAAACTGGAGTTTATTTCCTGTTTAGTATCAACCGCAGACTGGTCTGTCAGCCGGATACACAACT